TCTCAGAGAAAAACTTCAAAACGTGTTTATTAACGTCTGCAATACTTTCAACCTATCTTCCGGTTCGCATTCAGCTATAAGCTATAGAACGTTTGAAATAAATTCCTAGTACCTTCTCCTTTTTCAGGCAACGTATCTTCATCAGAAGCAAACGAGAGCCTTGCAACAGTGAGTCTTCTAACAGCTTTTTTGAATGGGATTCAGAGTTGCAGCGGAAGCCACCTCAACTAAAGCTAGAAGCCCACCTCAACAGCTAGCCAGAAATCCTTCACGCCATTTCTGTAGAACTCCCGGGCGATCTCCATAAATGGCGGAATATGACCGCAGCCCCCCCCCCTGGTATTTCCTTTCGGGATAAATCACTGCTTAGAGCATGGCCTGAGATTGAGATCACAATCAGTTCCAAAGGAGAAATGGACAAAGGGTGAAACTTTGACATAGCTAACCCTTTGGGGCGCGGCAGTTAGTACCATATCTGTAGAGTATCATAGTAAAACTTTCATTGCAACTCGGTCTATTTAGTGACTGGCGGAGGCTGGCCGTTCTACATCTACAGCGCCTCTTTTCTTCCAACGACCCTGACTATGACTGACCGATCGCGAAGGGATGAACGGTTTTTTGGGAGGCAACTCGGGATATGAGCCGCAATGTGACCTTCGGACCAAGCATGGTGAAGCGTCACCGTCCCATCTCCTTACCAAGCGCTTTTTGAGAGATAAGATGTCAATGTACTTTTGTGTGCCATAAAAGTCCAAGGGATAAGAATCCGCCTCTGATCGAAACTTTTTTTATGCGACTCGCATTCTACTTCCATTCAGAATCGTAGTGGCTTATTGAATGCGATGTGGCCTATACAATGACTTGCGGGGCCAGCCGATGTACAAGTCAGTGTTTTATCCTCCCAGACAAATCTGGTACCAATTTCACGTCCCTGGAGGACAGAAGGCTTGATTGGCGTGGGCGGGAGCGGATCCGGGAGTTGACCGCACGGCCCGCGCGCCTAGTAAGCCCCACGTGCCACTACACCACTTCCATCTCTTTATATGTTATAGAAGGTGAAACACAGTTCTAACTTTCCAGAGCATCTGGATATCTGGATCGGCATCGACTTCTTTGGACAGCGCGGAAGTTTGATAATGACCTTCGAAGTCTTTTCCTTTACCACGAAATCAACGCTTTCTCCAGTCTCTTCGACAAGGTATCGTACAGTCGTTACCGTAAATCCTGCTATTACAGTAATCGCGTTAACTTTTCAGAAGTGGTTCGACAATGAGTTGTTGATCTTGCTGCTGTCGCTGCTGTTTTTCCGAAGAGTTGTAATATTGCCACCATGGCTATCGATGTACTGCTTTGCTCAAACTTCGAAAGTTCAGCGCAACAAGGAGTACTCTATGCGGTGAGTATCGCGAGCCTCTGAGATGAAGGAAGTTGAAAAGAGGACTGAATCAAATAATGAACTTCGGACCTCGGCCCTCTGTCGGCGTTTCTGGATTGGGTCGGGTGGAACACCGAATCGACTTCGACATAAAAAAAACTTACTTTAACGAGGGACCCTTTTAGCACAAACTGTGTACACTCACCTCGAGAGACGGCCCTTTCCAGATAGGAGGCGAATCGTTTTGCCGCTGCTGTAGCGCTCCTCTTTTTCCGCTCGAAAATACAGGGGAACGTGGCTGTAGTGTAGTGGTACCCGATACCATCTCAATAATCTGCTCGCGCTATCCTCAAAGCGCAGCACTTGCTTGCCTCGATAGCGAGATCTGCAGTAACGCGGTGGAGAAAAATTAGGAAGGAGACAGATGACGCATACAAATAGCGGGTTGGGCGAGTGGATGGTGGGGCGGTAGCGCGGGCGGAGCATGAAGACGACACCCGGGCGTCATTACTCTCCAGCCCGGTCTGTGCTTTTGGCCGGAGATTGGTACCAGTACTGCGCAGCCGCTGACCATACGGGAAGGGTCCCTCAAAGACGTGTGTACAGTTTGTCTCTGATTAAAAACAGCTTTTCCGTGATTAGTAGCCGATGTTTCCAAATCAACTTAAAGGCAGTTGGCACGAAATTTGGTACTCAACCTAAAATGCTAGCAGGCGCTATATAGTGGGGAAAATGGCGAAAAAACGAAGTGAAACGGTCAAAAACCTGCGAAGAAAAGCCTTCGTTCTTAATGACTCAAAAAGCAATTTCGGACGAGTTTCCCGTAGGCATCTTGCCAATAACCGCTACGGTAGATACGGCTGCATGTGTGTACTCATATATCCATGCAGCACCGCAGCCGCTTCATATCAATCCCTTCGCTTCATAATTTACTTAGCAAATGAAGCAATACGAGCATCAGGTACGGTCGTCCATTTGTGGGCGGGCGGGCGTG